CACCACAAGGGGCCTCCCCTGAAAGCTCGGTGCAGAGCGGTTTCGCCCGAGACAAGGAGGACGCCCGCGCCTGGCCACCGCCTTGGCCGAGCTTCCGCTCCAAGAGCTGCAGTTGAACCTGGGGTTTCAACCAGCTCAACCCGCGAAAAAGACCGAACAACCGGTCTGGAGCTCAAAAAAGCAATGCTGCTCACGCTCGGACAGAGCCTTCGTTTTACTTACAGGACACGCAAGTCCGGTCTTGAGCCAAAGTAAGGCACAACGTTCTGCAACTCAGGTACTGGGTTCAGGTTGGCGAAATCCGCAACTCGAAAGCCATTTCGTTTGCGGCTGCTCCGCTAATTTCTTTTTTTGAAAACGAAAAAGGCTTCATTTCTTTGAAGCCTTCAAGTCGCTTAGTGATCTTATTGCATTTTTTTACCTTGTAGAAACATCATGTCATGTATGCATGAGAATCTTGCAATCTAATCATGAATGATCTGAAAGATGAATTTGAAATTTTGGAAATTCCATGTTTTTATTTTGTGTTTCGTTCTTTTGTGGAGTTTTCGAAGACTTTCCATCAAAGAGATGTTGGCTGCTTCGGAATCCTAGAATGTGCCCCACAGCACAACCAGCCCTCAAGACTTCCCTGGAACTCTTTTCACCTCGCTCCTGAACTCTGACGTCTTATACCTTGCGCTTATTGTCCCCGCAGCAAGACACACCTTGGCTGGCGACAATGGATGCCGCCTTTGGAGAATGGTCGAATTGCAGCCGGCTTGGCTGTGCCTCCTCGCCCATGGCCAGCTCTTGCCCTGTCAGTGACAAAAAGTGCGTTGCAGTGCTCCGGAGGCATCGCCGTGCAGTGGTGTCAGGCTAGAGTGGGGAAGGGGACCACTACGGGATCAGCCCAGAAAATAGATGTTACGGGATCAGCCCAGGAAATAGATGTTTTGCACACGTCCTCTTCAACAGGCCCTTTCTCTGAAGAGAAACCCCGCATATGGAAGCAGCTTGTGCAGAAACAGCAAAGAGGCAGCCAAGACCGCTTGAAATGCAACGTTCTTTCTTTTAGTCGCAGCATTTTAAAGCGGCGACAATTTACAACAGATACTGGAGGGAGATGCAATGCATTAAGGGAAAAATGCAACTCTGGAATCTTCGAAAGAAAGGCTCTACACTTGCAGTGAAACCACGGAAGCGTAAGTGATGGCGCTGCAAAGGCGGATGTGCTTCAGCAGCTCCCAGGGCTCGAAGCTCTGTGCGCTTTCCTGCGACACTCGCTCTCCCACTTCGCTGACGGTGAAGAAGACGCCCTTCTGCACTTTGCCGCCGGCACCCACGAGCCGCAGGCCCGGCCACAGCCTCATGGTTTGGGGC